CAGTGCATGATGATCATTTAGTTTCCCTTGCTTACATCAATCTTTGCCTCTATGAACAAACATTATTGTGTGCATATTAAAATGGGGTTTTTATCTTTTTTTTAAAGATTTATTTACTTATGCATACAAGAACTGGGGTACTGGCCAGAGATGCGGTGGGTGAGAGGATTCACCAGAGACAGAGTGGGGAACAGAACAGGCAGACTGATGAAATACACTGTTGAGGGGAGCAGCGGGGAGACAGGAGAGGTCTGCTGCTCCATGTGGGTCAGCTCCCGGCCACGTATAGTGGCTGAGGACATCTTCCTAGTGTGCGTCTTAACACCTTGCGCCACCAGGGAGGCCCCAAAACGGGATTTTGGTCTTTTAAAGAACCAGATTAAGATGTTATTCTATATGAGTTAAAGAAAGTTCTCAAATACTGCTACAGGGTAAATTTCTTCATTAGGATTCATACCAAAAAAAAAAAAAAAAAAAGCAAACGTGAGTAGTGTCAAATATTTGAGAATTCTATGCCAGAGGCTGATTTAACAGAAAAGAGATCAAATTACCCTGATTTAATTAATGGATCTTTAATTAGGTGAGGCAGATTTGCAGGTCTGGCTATAAATGACAATCAGAGTGCTGTCAGACTCACGTCAGAAAAGTGACAGAATCACTAAAATAGATCGTAAATACTTTGCCATATCAAAAGAGCTAACGGAAGTCAGTTTTGATCAGACCACAGGTAAAACTAGAAAAATAATTGTCCCATAGACAATATATTCATATGGGGCACCAGACGTTAGGAGGGGTGAGCTTCAGAGGGTGCTGGCCGGCGCCTGGAGGGCACCTCAGAGCTGGAGGAGGCCCGTGGGCGCCCCCAGCCTCAGGAGGGCCCGTTGGCACTAACCCCGTAACTCCCAGCGGTTCTTGGGATGCGTTTGTGTTTTGGGGATTGTGGCGGCAGAAGGTTACAGTGCAGGATCTCTGTGATCCGAGCAGACAGTATAAGGAGGAGTCCTCGGTGGCTTTTCAGGCTTTTATTGGGATTTACCAGGCACACGGCAGGCAGGGGTCCCAGGGGCCCGGGGGGCTGGCAGGCCTTCCAGCCCCCAGTAAGTCTTCACTCTGTCTGGGCTCTCCGGCCTTCTCTGGTGGTCTCTGCTTCTCTGCTCCTACTGGCATCCCAGTGACGCCGCCCAGGTGTACCCACTTACACATGCCCACACCGCCCTCCAGGTGCCCACCGTCAGGCATGCCTTCGGGCCTGCAAATCCATCATCCATCCTGATGGCGGGAGGGCAGAAAAGCCTGATACTTTTTCACCTCACCTTCAGGGGTGCATTCTTCTGTCACTGTTTTTGAAGGTGCCCTGTGCCTGTGATACCGTGTCGGGGACAACCTCTGCCTTCCGTTCTCCTACCGTGGGAGGCAGACAAAGAAGGGCTGGAAAGAGGCACCGAGTCTGCTAGGGAGGAGCGCTGCGGGCAAAGTGAAGCGGGTCGGAGAGGGCGCGCAGCTGCGGTGAGAGGGTGTAGGGTCAGGAATGGACACAGGGCAGGTTTTCTGATCCCATGCAGACTAGGTGAAGGAGGAGTCAGAGTCCTCAGTGGTTTTTGCAGGTCTTTTATTGGGGTTCACCAGGCATATGGCAGGCAGGGGTGCTTGGGGGCCGGGAGGCTGGCAGGCCTCCCAGCCCCCAGCAAGTCTTCACTCTTTCTGGGCTCTCCGGCCTTCTCTTGGCTTCTCTTTCAGCTTCTTTCTCTGCTTCTACTGCTGCTGGCGTCCCCGTGACGCTGCCCTTAAAAGCCCAGTCTCAGCCCAGGTGAATCCCATCTACCTAGGCCCACACCCTACTCCAGGTGCCGCCATCAGGCATGCCTTCAGGACCACAGGGTTCTGTCATCTATCCTGATGGCGGGAGGGCAGAAAAGCCTGACATTTTTCCTTACCCTAAAGAGGGGGTGAGCAAAGCTGGCGCAGGGGCAAGATCTGGAGAAGGAAGGGCGGCTCCAGGCCAAGGGAAGAGCCCCCGGGGGCCTGCCGACAGGCTCAAGGATGCCCAGCAGGCAGCATGAAGCAGGGGAGAGGGGCGGGCAGGCAGGAGGCCTGACAGGATAGAACTCATTTTGCAGGGCCTTGGTCTGAAGGAAAAGCCGTTTATGCGGCCAGACGGGGTCACGAGGCAGCCGTGATAGAGTCTCAGCTGTTTGGGGTCACGGACTGTCGTGTCAGGTGGGGTGAAGGCGGGCGGCCAAGGTCTGGTCCCCAGTTACCGCAGAAATGCAGAGAGGAGGCCAGGGCCCTGGGGTGGGGGTGAAGAGGGCTCGAGTCCTGGTCCTCCGTGACGGTGGAGCCACAGGACGTCCCCGGTGCCGAGAGGGGAAGGAAGAGAGGCGGGAAGAGGGGCGTTCACGGGCCGCCAGGGCTTCTGCCCTGAGCAGCTGGGCCGAGGCTGTTTCCACTTAGCGAGACAAGAAGGGCAGCTGGGTCAGGTTCCCAGGTCCTGCCATCTCCTTGGGTGTGAGTTTCTCTTCCTCCCTCCCCTGCCTGTCTTCTCCCTCATAATTTATAATTTATCTGTTGGAAAAGCAGGACTCGATGCCCCGGAGCGTTTCCCCAGCCCGGATTTCCTGGACCCTCCCTGGCCCCCTCAAGATCTTTCTCCCCCGAGGGCCTGGATCGGGGGTTAGGCCTGGGGGCTCCGCGAAATTCCCGGAGGTTCGCCTGCTCTGCTTGCAGGTAGCTGGCTCCCAGCAGGGCCTCGCCCACCGGGGCTCAAGGGTGGTTACCACGTCCCCGCTCGGCCTGCAGCAACTGCAAGTCGAGGAGACTCCGGTTCTGTTATTTCGACTCCACTAATGAGCTGAAATATCTCCAGAAAGAGCATTTCGGGCCTATGGGTGATGTAGGTGAAACGCGTCATGCTTTGACTTTATTTACCAGTATCAAAAATAACTTACCTAGCGTCTTCCAAATTGGAACTTTTGTTTATTTCTAATGAATTCATGGAATTAAATACACTGGGTGCATTTGCCTCCATGGCAGGCAGTTCTAATCCATGTTGACATTGTCCTTCTTTGACCCCGAGGGTTTTTGAGCTGCCCCCGGTCTCCAGAGCTCGGCTGCTTCCGGGGAGGCAACCTGTGTCTCATCCCACGGGTGTCCTGGAATCAGCCATTTCTCAGGGAGCTCGGTTTCCCGGCATTGGGGAGATGGGGTTGGGGGATGGCTGGGCTAGACTCTGGCCCTGGTGTGCGGGCCTCTCGGGACGGTGTCTGCATCTCACAGGACGACACTGTCGCACATTCGTGGTGCTGCTTCCAATTCCAGTCCAGGAAACAGAATTTTCACTGAATCTCATTGTAGGGTAAGGTAAGAAAGCATCAGGCTTTTCTGCCCTCCCGCCATTAGGATGGATGATGGATCTGCGGTCCTGAATGCCTGCCTGATGGCGGCACCTGAGTGCGGCGTGGCCATGCGTAAGTGGGTGCACCTGGGCTTGTCAGGGCGGCATCACGGGGACGCCAGCAAGTTACAGCAGAAGCAGAAGAGAGAGAAGCAGAGGCCACGAAAGAACGCCAGGGAGCCCAGAGAGAGTGAAGACTTGCTGGGGGCTGGGAGGCCTGCCAGCCTCCTGCCCCCCACCCTACACTCCTGCCTGCCAGTACCAATAAAAGCCTGCAAAAGCCACCGAGGGCTCCGGGACTCTCTCCTTTCCCCGTCTGCTGCAATCACAGAGAACCTGCGCTGGCCCTCCCCGCCGCTGCACTCGGCAGTCTAGAACGGCTTTACTCCTCACACGCTGAAGTTTTCAGGGGCCAGAAGGATGACTCCCCTGCATTATTCCACCACGCAGGGCGTTTCCATAACAGAGAACGCGGGTCTCATTTGACCTGACAGGTGAGGAGGAACATGCAGACCCTGGTTAGGTCCAGGCAGCTCATTCAGAGGCGCCTAGAGGAGAGGGCGGCATCCAGGAGGGAGCACACTCCTCCGCTGGGTGGGCTTGGAGGCGCGGGGTGCAGGAGGGGAAGCGGGGCTCGCCCTCACTGCTGTGGGCCTTAGCGCACCCACCAGGTACACGGGCTGCTTGTTTCTGTTTTTCAGAGGTCTCTTGATTTGTTTTTATGACAGAATCTTCTTTGTGAGCAAAGGGGGTTACTTATGGAGGGCCTCCCTGGTGGCACAAGGGGTTGAGTCTCAGCATTGTGAAGCTGTCCTCAGCCTCTGCAGCATGAGTTCCATCCCCAGCCAGGGAGCTACCCACATGGCGCAGCAGACCTCTCCTGTCTCCCCGCTGCTCCCCTCAGCAGTGGATTTCAGTAGATGCATCTGTTCTGTTCCCCACTCTGTCTCTGGTGAATCCTCTCATCCCGTGTACCTCTGGCCTGCACCCCAGCTCTTGTATGCATAAAAATAAATCTTTTTAAAAAGAGGGATGTAGGGTGAGGTAAAAAGTATCAGGCTTTTCTGCCCTCCCGCCATTAGGACAGATGAGGGAACCCCGTGGTCCTCAATGCAGGCCTGATGGCGGCACCTGGAGTGGGTCCACCTGGGTTGAGACTGAGTTTATTAGGGAGGCGTCGCGCTGACGCCAGTAGAAGCCGAGAGAAGAAGAAGAGAAGCAGAGAGAAGGCCGGAGAGCCCAGACAGAGTGAGGATTTGCTGGGGGCTGGGAGGCCTGCCAGCCTCCTGGCCCCCCAGCACCCCTGCCTGCCATGTGCCTGGTAAATCTAAATAAAAGACCTGCACAAGCCACTGAAGGGGTCCAGGACTTTTTCCTCCTTGACGGGGTCTGCTGGATCAGAAAACCTGCCCTGTGGCCCATTCCTGCCCTCACAAGGGGTTCCATAGGGAGCGCTGCTGAATTCTGGGCATACCCATTCTCTGGAAAAGCCCCTTCCCGGCAGAGCTCCGGTTTCTGACCTGGAGGCAGCGTCTGCGCACAGGTGTTCCCCACAGAGGGCAAGGTGTGGGCCCTCGTGTCTCACGACTGTGTCCTTTCTCCCCCACAGAGGACAAGGTGTGGACCATCGTGTTCCACGACCTGCACACGCAGACGACAGTGGTGGGCTACCAGCCCGAGAAGTACTCGGTGACGCAGCTCGCCTACAGCGCCTCCATGGAGCAGATCAGCGCCATCACCAGCAGCGCCGAGTACTGCGAGCAGTTCGTCTCCTACTTCTGCAAGATGTCGCGGCTGCTAAACACCCCAGGTAGGGGGGCATGGCCCTGGGGGACTCCGTGGGTGCAGGGGGCGCGGCGCTGGGCCGCAGTTGCGCCGGGTTATCTGGAGTCTTGTCTTCAAAGTGTGGGCAGCTGTGAAAATGCAAAAAGGAATCACTTGGTTTTCTGGGGGTGGAAGCTAAGAAAGGATGATTTTTAAAAAATCGCATTGTTTCAAACTTGGATTTTTCAGGGGGGTGTGTGTGTGTGTGTGTTTCTGGTGCTTGATTGTAAGTCATTGCTTTGGGCACACGTTGATCACAACCGCTTGTGAACTTTAAATTCCAGTTGTTCGGTTGTCTTTAATGTGAAGATGAAAGCGTTCGAAAGGTCACGTTCTAAAGGCAAGAGTGGTAGAATTTAGAGCTCTTTGTTGTCTGTAGTCATTTAACAATATGTTTGTCTCGGGAAGTTGAACCTAAATTTTTTTCGTGTCTTTTGGCCATGCTTCAGCTGCGTGTATGTGTTAGAGGTGTAGAAAATATTTCCCAAAGGGTATCCTGGAAATATCTTTACCACAGACCCATATGGCAGTGAATTAAAAATATTGACACAAAACTCAATCCCTGAGTAGAACGTGGTGGCATGTTGCGTCGCTGTGAATGGTGGGAGGAGCTGGCAGTGCGGTCAACGGGTGCCATTTTGTAACCCCTTAGACACACAGCACGGGAGGACAGTCTCCACCCTGCTGTGCCTGATGGGGGCCAACTAGACGGAGCAAGGTGGATGTGAAAATAGAGATGGATGGAGGGAGACACGAGAGATACTTGGAGAAGAGACACGAGAGATACTTGGAGAAGAGACACGAGAGATACTTGGAGAAGAGACACATGGGTGTGAGGAGTAAGGCGGCTACTCTGGTGCCTGGCAGAGACCGTGGCAGCCGTTATCTTGGCCTCATGCTGGATTGCATGGTCCATCTTGACTTGCCCATCTCTCCTCCTGTCCCAGCTCTCTCAGACTTGCCTGACCTCTTTCCTGCGGTTCCTAGCAAGAAAGTCTAAGGAAGGTACCTTAGACCCTTAGTGGCCCCACTTGGGCCACACCCATCTAACTGGGCATTTGCCCGCAAAGTAATGAGTAATTTTCGGAGTTTTCTCAGGAGTCCCGTATTTGATAACCTCTCTTCTGTCTGCGCCACCATTACAGATCTTTCACGGGAAGAGTCTGCTTTCTTGGCCCCTGGGGATGAACCCTTTTAGAATGTGTAAAATGGGGTTTCCCCTTAATAGTCTGAGGTCTGTAAGGGGCAGGAGGACACGGAGCAGGATCTCTATGATCCGAGCAGATGGGGTAAGGAGAAGTCCTGGAGCCCTCGGTGGCTTTTCAGGCTTTTATTGGGATTTTACTGGGTACACAGCAGGCAGGGGTGCCGGGGGGGGGTGGGTGGCAGGAGGCTGACAGGCCTCTCCCTCCCAGCACGTCTTCACTCTTTCTGGGCTCTCCGGTGTTCTCTGGTGGTCTCTGCTTCTCTTTCGATCTCTCTTTCACTCTTGTTCTCTCTGCTTCTCCTGGCATCCCCATGACGCCACCCTTGTAAGCCCAGTCTCAGCCCAGGTGAATCCAATCTACATAGGCCCACACCCTCCTCCAGGTGGCCGCCATCAGGCATGCATTCAGGACCGCAAGGATCCATCATCTATCCTGATGGCGGGAGGGCAGAAAAGCCTGATATCATTTACTTACCCTACAGGGTCCCTGGTACCCCTCAGTCACATAGTTACAGGAATAAAGTTGTGCTTTAGTCAGACACCAAAGGTCCACACTTTGTAGCTGTGCCCCTCCCCAGGGTTGCGACTTTGGGGTAGGAGGAGGTCACTGAGCTCTTTGTTCTCAGTGTCCAGTGACTTTTTCAGTCAAATAGGAACCATAATGCTGTTTCAAGGTGATTGTGAGAATTTAATGAGGTAATATATTAGATGTTTGTGACAGGGTTTGATACACTTAAGGATTCAGTAAATAACAAGTAGTGTGTTGACTTGTTTTTTATATTAAGCATTAAGCAACTTTGGAAGTGACATTATGTCAGAGACCCAGTGAACCGTTGATGCCCCAAATCAGTGTTGAGTTGGAACCAGGGTTGCAGGGAGTGGCTTATAGAGAAGAGTCCGAAGCAGAACAGTAGACAAGGTTTTGAAGACAAGAGTGCTCTCTATGTGCAAAGTCTGATGCTGAAATTAGAGACAAGTTTAACCTATGGACTCTGAGAAAACAAAATCTGCAAATTATGAAAACTTCTGGTTCCAACAATTAGTGCTTCTGTTGGGAGAAAGAAGCCACTTGGTTGCAGCTGGGGTGTTGAAGTGAAGCTTCATTAAGGGAGGCAGAAAAACAATCGAGTCTGGTGAAAGAAAATCTAGAAGACAGAATCTGAGAAGTAGTGAGAACCCATTTATGGTAAGAAGTAGTTTAATTAGCAAAAGCAGGATTCATGAAGAAGTACAGTAAGAAATGAACTTGGAAGGTGAAAGTAGGAGAAACTGGAGGGAACTAAATGTTTTGCCACAGAGCTGCAGCTTCTCCTGAAGCCCAGAGCTTCCCAGGCCCTAGCAGGGTTCGAATGGCCTGGGAAAGTAATAATTCACACACTACTGGACCCCACTCCTGAGTTTCTTCGTATGCCTGAGGTGGGGCTTGAGAATTTGCATGTTTGATGATTGCTTTGGATTGAATTGTGTTCTTCAAAATTCAGACGTTGAGATCCTGACCTTCTATACTCGACCTGTATTTGAGATAGTGCTTTCAGGAGGTAATTTAGGTTAGGTGAGGACATAAGGCCAGGTATCTTACCTGATTGGCTTTATGAGGAAAATAGTGGAAAGAACTCTTCTGCTCTTCACTATGTGGAGACGCTGAGGGGACAGCTGCCTGCTGGCCATACAGAGAACTCTCACCAGGAGCCAAATCTGCCGCCATCTTGGTCATGGACTTGCAGCCTTTCGGCCTGTGCCTGTGAGAACACAAGTGTCTGTTCCTTCTGCCGCCTGCTTGTGGTGTTTTGTTATGGCTGCCTGAGCTCACCTACACAGTGAGTTCCCAGGGGTGCTGTGCTGGAAACCACCCTGAGAATCACTGCTGTGGGCAGTGGGAAGTATTTATGGCCCTGTGGTCCAAGCGGCCTTTTTATTTGCATTCACTTACCATCACCTTTTCTCCCAGATCCTGTTTCAGTGCTAGGCAAAACCAAGAAGGATTATAGAAAATTAAATCAATTCATAGTCCTGTTGACTTGTCTGCACAGTTTCCAGAGCAGTGTTTGACGTCAAAGCTCATTCCAAGATTTCAGTCCATTAGTCTCCAGTGCTGGGGTAGGGTTGGGGATGGAGACAAATTGCTTTTCTGGAAAATAATATGGAATCATCAGGCTTATTTTCTTTATTTTGTTCCATTCTTCTATTAAACTCACAAGTCAATATTCACTTCTAAAATTTCGCTCTGGTTGTTAAAAACATGCTAGACTTCTAACTAATTTCAACACATAGTCTGGCCATCAGGAGAAATTGGTTAGGGGAAGAGAAACTCTTGGCCTTTGGTGCCCCAGGTCTTGCTGTTTACTTCTTTGTCTTCTCTTGTTGTTTCCCTCTGTCTCCCCCAACCCCAGAAGCCTCACACCCTTTACCCTCCTCTCAAAACACAGGAAAAACAGATGAATATTACTTAGTATTAAAAATAACTGTTGCCATTTGCAATAACACGGATGGAACTGGAGGGCATGACGCTAATAGAAATAAGTCAGAAGCAAGAAAAATACTTGATGGAGTCACTCATACCATATGGAAGTATAGAAAAACAAAACAAAGGGTCACACAAAGCCAAACCAATAACAAACCCTAGAAATCAAACTATAGAACTGAGACTTCCGGAGGGCAGGGGAGGGTAGCAGGGGAAGAGGCCCCTGTGGACCGAGGTGGAGGACATGGATGCCTTGGTGGTCTGTGTGGTGGCAACACCCAAGGGTGCAGCCCTCTTCCTCTAAATCATCAACAGTGTCATAAACCAATGTCCCTGCACATCCCACCTGTCCGTAGTAGGCGTTTTGCTCATTTGAATGAAGTGAAAAGTATGTAATTGTAAAATTTGCCTCATCCAACCTTCATGTTTAAACAGGCTGCTTGTCAGAACACGACTCTATGGCCTTGGCCCCAGAACCCTGATCTGTTAGAACTTGCTGGGAGCCAGGGATGTGGCTCTGAACGGACAGTCATGGGTGACTTTGTGTACCACATACTGACTTCACGTGTGGCATGAAGGTCTCTCAGGTTAGACTTGAAGAGACCAGTCCTTGTTGAAGGAGGACATGAAAGGGATACGAGGACTTATCTGGCCAATGGAAATAAGACTATATACAGAATCACCCACACCCTCGGCTAACATAAGCTGTGTGATAGTAGTCATTTTTAACGCTTTTCATAGACTAGTCTCTAAATAGCGTAATATAATTGGGAGTGTCATTTTTCACATTCCCAGTGTGTTTCTCTCAGGCTAACTAGTCTATAGAGTGGCTGAGGCTGGCCAAGGAGTGCTTGCTCTAGCAAGTCTCCCTGCATTACTGTTCTGTATCTGTCCAAATAAGAAAGAACACAATTGAATAAAAATCTTTATTTGCTGCTTTAAGGAGATAATGTTTTCTGTAATTGGTTTTGGGTTTTGTTTTTGTTTTGTTTTTTTTTTTTCCTCCTTGCTGGCAACATTCAATTTGAAATATCCATTTACTCCTTCTTAACTAAGACAGAATTATATTGGAACTTCTGTGGTAGTACTTGTGACATCTGTTTGAATACAAAGTATATCCATTATAGTCATGGCAATTAAAATGAATATCAAATGAGTTTATAACAGCTATGCACTTAAAATGTTATTCTTTATTTTAAGAGCTTCACCCTCAAGAGTTCATTCGGGGCAATGTAGTTTCTGATGATATTATGATAAGACACTGACTGCATGCATATCGCCCTCGTTTTATTTTGATAAATGTTTGGTTGTGCCATAC